ATTAAACGGTGCGATCGTTTTTGTGGACTTGTGAAAGACTTTTTTAAGCGTTATCAATAGATCGCTTTCGAAATCGTTAATATCTTCACAGTTCTGTTCACTTTGGGTTCATCTATCATTCGCGTCTCATTTTCATCATTCAAGTATTTCTTTAGTTTAATTCTATCTTGACAAACTTTTGAAATATCACATTTGAAGAGTGAATATACTAAAGCGATAATGTGTTCTGCAATAACAAGAAATGAGCATGGTTTCAGAATCGCTTTCAGAGACCGACAGAGGAATATCAACAGATCATCGATACCGAATGTCATCATCAGCACTGAATGGTTATGACTCGAACACATCCACCTCCACTCCTCTACTCTCAAATCCTACAAGCACATCGACTAATGCCACCATCCAACAAGCGCAGCAATCCGCATCTTCAGTCAGTAACACCGTCTCAAACACTATGCAAAATTCACCTGAATTAGCCAATATGACCGTAGGACAGTTACTGGGGCAGACACAACGCCGTAACATTTCAGTTTCACATTTGAATCCAAATGCGGTACGCTTTATTCTAATCATCGGTTTAGCCACATTTCAACTGTTTTACTGTTTGCAACCAACGTTGAGACATTAGAACAGTTACTTCTGTATCNTTTCCATTTTCACTATTTAATCGATGAAGGTATGAGTATTTTCAATAACGAGTTTTATATTTGATACAATCGTAGAAGGAAAAATTACATTTTCATTAACACTGAGAAATTTTGTTCGCCACAATGGAATCATCAAAGTTGATGTTTTTAGCAACGTCTCTCAATCGGTCCCCAACGTAATCAGGTATTTGCTTCGCTGTTGATTGAATTTATTTTCATCGTTCAAGTTTGCGCTCTTTGAAAGTTTTGCACTCTTTCGTTAAGTGCCGTTCGTTTTGGCACTATGAATTCTTTTTGTTGATTACTTGGAGTGAACTTCTGTGGATTGTATGCCGAATTGCAACGAGCTGAATGACTACTTCGTCATTCAGATACGTGTCGTTAACAATCCGAATGCGGTATCGATTTCGCGACAAGTTGGTGGTGCCGTTGGAACGTCGACACCGAATCAGCAGCCATCGGCACCCGAACGGACTCAGATAAGTTAGTCATTGTGGTATTCATTAATGATTATTTATTTTACTGATA